ATAGGGATAAAATGTAAGCTTATTTAAAAGTGTGGGTTGTACTCATGATCTTCTATACTAGTACATTCTACTTCTCATGACTCTGCAATGAAGACTCTTCCACTCTAGAAATGCACTGCAAAGATGCAATCCACATGGCTATGGCTGGCTCACCCTTGCTTCATTAATGAGAATGACACTGAAAGTCAGTATTAGAGAAGCTGCACTTTATGGACTTATTGAACCAACATCTAGTGAGGGCTTGCTGTGTGCCTAAGGGCTCGTGGGATATATAGCAGTGAAATAAAAAGACATAAATCCCACTCTTATAAAGCCTACATTCTATTGTAGAAAGACAATCAACAAGAATAACAAGTAAAATATGTGGTAAGGTAGACAGTGATATATTCTGTGGGAGGAAATAACCCAGGGAGCAGGGGAAGGGAAACTTGGGGGGTGCGATTAGAGGAACCCATTCATCAGTTGCTCAGGAGTTTGCTCGTGTTGGCCCTAAAAGTTTCATATCTCAAGGAACCCCTCCCACCTGGGTGAATGGGATAATTGGACATCCATAGTGCAATTTCAGAGAGGGCCATGAAAAAAAGGCTCATTGAGAAGGGGACATTTCCCTGATACCTGAAAAACCAGATGAGAAAGCAGAATTGAGCCATGAGAATACCGTGGGAGGTGAGGGTTAGGGGCAGGCAGGGTAAGTGCACACTCAGCCCAGGGGAAGGAGGGTGCAAGAGTTTGCTTGAGCAGCAGGAGGCCAATGTAGCCAGGCCAGGGGCCAATGGAGAGAAGGACCAGAGTGCCAAATTTTACTGAACCTCAGGGGTCATAGCAATCAATGGTTTGGGCTTTTGCTCTGAGGGTGATGGTGATCCTGAGAAGGGTTTCCAGCAGAGAGGTGACACAACCTGACTTTCATGTTGACAAGATCCCTTTCAGCTCCATGTGAAAAACAGGGGGTCAAGAGTGGAAGAAGGGAGGCCAATTAAGAAGCTTATTTCAATAACAGGAAAAGGATGAGGGTGGCTTGGACAAGGGATGTGAGGAGAAGAGATGGCGTCAGAGTCTGGATGTCTTTCAAGGTAGGGCTAAGGATGTGCTGACAGATCACATGTTGAGTGATGAGAGTTTTGTGTGAAGCAACTGGAAAAATGGGGACACCATCAACCAAGACAGGGGGTCGGTAGACAGGCCCAATGGGTTAACCTCTCCTCCAACATACTCACCCATGAAGTAGAGAGATATCTGACTAATCATCTCATTCTGATTTCTGGGTTGCTTGATGCTGGCGGTCAACGTATTGCTCTCAGTTTCTTCTGGATCATGCCTTTGAGCAAAAACAGAATTCTACTCTGGAGGATGTCAAATACTATCCTAACCCCAAGGTGGGCCATGATTTAACAAGTTCCCATAATACTGGGGAGACAGTACATTGAAAAGCAAAGTTTTAAGGCGGGGTAGCAGGGAAGGCAAGTATGACTTTGGAGTCAAGTAATTAGGGTTCAAATTCTCCCCAACTTCTCCTACCTGGGTAATCTTAAGCAATCCATCAACACCTCTCTTTGTTTCAGTTTCCTCCTACCTAAAATGGGGATAAAATACTTACTGGCTGAGGTTGCATGACAGATTATAGACACTGGGTGAGGGTTTGTTAAACTGCAATGAAACAAAAAGCCATCGACATATCACTTTGTGCCCCCAAGGAATATTAACAATCATCAATGCATCTCAGGCCCTTAGACTTGGAATGCGAGGAAACAGGCAATGTCCCCAACCCCCAATATCCCACCTTCCTCCTGACATGCCAAAAAGGAATCATCTAGTATAAAGTGGCAGTGACAGCGAACTAAGGATGCCAGGAGAGGCACCCAAGAAACTTTGTCAGAGGAGAGGCCAGGCACAGGTGCATGCTTCAGGTTACCCAAGTAACACACACACAACAAGGGTAGCTAGTCCATTAGAATTTATCAGCATCAGTTCACCAGCTAGTGGTGTTGTTAGAAGCTGTGTTTGGCTTCAGGGAATGTATTTTTGTTTTTTTAGATTCTTTCAACACATTTGCCCATTTCATGATGGGTGATTTAGGAACACCCTTGTGCATACCATGCTGAGTGTTCAGCAGTTTTTGACAGAAACAGTACGACCTCCCTTACCCCACACTCCCCATTCACTCAATCTCATCCCAAATGATTTTATTTTTTGTTTCCCCAGATTAACAGAGTCTTCAAAGGGAAATATTTTGCCAATGTGGAAGAGGTAAAATAAAAAATGGCAGAAGCACTAAAAGGCACCAGAATTGATGAGTTCAAAAACTGGAGTTTTTTGGGTTGGTTTTTTTGTTTGTTTGTTTTTTCTTTTTTTAAGTCTCACTCTGTCACCCAGACTGGAGTGCAGTGGTAGGCTCACAGCCACCACAGCCTCAAACTGCTGGGCTCTGGCGATCCTTCCCCCTCAGCCTTCAAGTAGCCAGAACTACAGGCACGCGCTACTACACCTGGCTAATTTTTGATTTATTGTAGAGACAAGGTCTCACCAAGTTGCCCGCGTGGCTCTCGAACCTGTAGACTCAGGCAATCCACTCACCTCAGCCTCCCAAAGTGCTGGGATTACAGGCTGAGCCACCAAACCCAGCCCAAAAACTGTTTTGAGCAGTGAAAAAAGCATCTTGATAGGCATATTGCATCAATTGGAAAGTACTTTGAAGGTGACTGAAGTTTAAACATGTAAGAATAAATACACTATTTTTTATAAATCAATTCCATTTTGGGGGTCCCCCCTCATATTTTATTTTATTCAGTTGTTTTCAACATCTTTGGTGAGGTATAATTGACATTTGATAAATTGCACATACTTAAAGTATGCAGTTTTGATAACTTTTGGTGTATGTATATATCCATGAAACCATCAACAAAGTCAAAATCATGAATATACCCATCATCGGCAAGAGTTTCTTCATGTCTTTGCCATTTCTTCCCCCTGCTCCTTTTTGGTTCCCTCATTCCCACACAACAATTGGTCTGCTTTCTATTATAGTGCATTAGTCTATATTTTTTAGAATTTTATAGAAATGAAATAATTATAATGGGTACTCTTTAATGCCTGGTTTCTTTAACTTAGTGTAATTAGTTTGAGATGTATCCATATTGTGATGTATCAAGAGTTCATTCTTTTCATTATGAAGTAGTATTATCCATTCATTTGCTGATGGTCATCTAGGTAGTTTCTAATTTAGGGCAAATAAATTTGCAATTTTTTAAAGTCTTATTTTAAATCCTCCCTTCTGGCTATTTTTAAGTGTACAATCCATTACTATCAACTATAGTCATTCTACTATGCAATAGAATGTCAGATCTTAGTTCACTTAACTGTGACTTTTTACCCAGTGACTGACATCTCCCTGTCCCCATTCCACCCATCCCCCACCTCAGCCTCTGGCAACTGCCATTTACGGTTGACTTCTATGAGTTCAACTCTTGTAGATTCTACATTTGCGTGAGATCATATGGCATTTGTCTCTCTGTGCCTGGCTTATTTCACTTAGCGTAATGTCCTCCAGCTTCTTGTCATAAACAACAGAATATTTTCCTTTTTTTATGACTGAATAGTGTTCCATTATGTATATACACCATATTTCCTTTATCCATTGGTGGACACTTAGCAATCCCACTGCTGGGAATACACCCTCCAAAATTAAATCAATATGCCAAAGAAATGTCTGCACTCCCATGTTCATGGCAACATTATTCACAATAGCCAAGATACGGAAATAACCTACGTGTCCATCAACAGATGAAATAAATTATTTATGTGAGTTTAAAGCTTGGCAGTCTTTGGAACTTGGGAATTCTTGATGCACCATGCCAAGCCAGTATAAAATCAGTAACTATAAAATAGTTATAGTTCATCAGAGCATGTGGTGTAATTAAAAATTATTCTTTACTTTCTTCGCTGCTTCTACCATCATGCCTCTTTCTCTAATTCTCCCACCTCCCTCTTTCACTTCTAAGGACCCTTGTGATTAGCTAGGGCCTGTCCTGATAATCCAGGAACTCTCCCCATCTCAGGATCCTTTCGCCATGTAGGGTGACCTATGCACAGGTTTCAGGAATTAAGATATGGGCATCGCTGAGGGCTGGGTTGGGAGCGTTGCTCTACCTACCACAATGGCTAAAAAAGAGATCAGGGTTTCCCTTTCTTAGCACTAAAATCCAAACCACAGGTTAAAAATAGAGGAAATGTCAGTAGTAACTATTCTCTTATTCAGTCCTTCATTCATCCTCACTGTGTCTAGGTACTGAGTAGTCAACTCATTAGGGAAAAACACCTGCCTCAGGAATCTTACTTTCCAGTGAGGAAGATGATGATAAATAAGCAATATCAGGGAGAAGTGCTAAGAATTGAAGCCAAAACAGGGAAGGAAGATACGACTGTGTGTAGGGATGAGATGTTGTGTTCAAGTTTAGATGGGCAGTCAACAAGACTACACTGAGAAGATGAACCAGGAAGAAAGACCTAATACTGGTGAGGGAGTGAGCCACCCAGTTTTCTGAGGGAAAAGTAACCCCACAAGAGAACGGCAGAAGCAGAGGTCCTGAGGCAGAAACAAACCTAGCTTGCTCTCAGGTCATTGTGGCAAAGACGGAATGTGCAAAGGGCACAATATAGGAGGGGACAGGTCTTGGCAAGCCTTGAAGGCCCCAGTGATGACCGGCTTTGACCTTGAGTGGAACAGGAAGGTTTTGCATAGGGCAGGGACATGGTGTGACTTACCTGTGAATGGGCGGACCCACTCCTGAAAGAGTATCTCATTACACCCATCTCAGTGCCAGGCACATAGCGCGTCCTCGATAGGTATATGTGACTGGATGAATGCATGATTCTCAGAGAGCAAAGGATGCTAACCCATCAGAGGGAGATCTCCATTGTGAGCCAGGAGCCTGTTGTCAGGAGCCCTGGCCTGCTGGAAGAACAAACACCAGGACTAATGCCATTGCCTGGATCTGTTTCAGTTGCTCGGAGAAGACCGATTCCAAGACATTGAGAAGATCAAGACCATTGGCAGCACCTACATGGCCGTGTCGGGCCTGTCACCTGAAAAACAGGTAAAGGACTCTTTGAACTCAACCACAACCTAGAACAGGAGTTGCTGAAGGTGGAGAAGCCTCTGTCACCAAGAGGCTTGGGGAAAGGTGGGGAGAAAATTCAAAGACCTGGATTGCAATAGTCACATGATGTGCACTTGCCTCTGAGGTAGGTGGAGTCTGCTGGATAAAACATTGTTGCTTTATTGAGAGACTTCTGGGCTTGTTCTGAACCTCACTATTCCCTTGAACAAAAATCGGAACCAAGAGATAATCTGATTAAGCTTTAGTTGTGAGTGTTATTAAAACCCCAATACTAACCCTTTTTTCTTATTCTTATTTTTTATTTCCAAAAGTCATACATACAAATGATAATAATAATAGCTCCTGCTTTTTGGAGTGTTGACTGTGTGCCGGGCACTAGTGTTAAATAGTGACACTGCTGTCTACCTTCTAGGGTTAATGAATGAATTATCTAAGATAATTTCATGCTACCACACAAAGTCTTACATCTAGTAAGTCCTCGATGTTAAATGAATATGAGTCCAAGTTACTGGAGGAAATAGAAAACCCCATTAATTCCTTCTAACCCTTACTATACTTTCTTTCCAACTAAAAACGTGAAAATACTCCAAGAGTGACTCTTTGAGAAGAAACTCTTGTTGGTAATTTGGTGCATGTGTGTGGTACTTTATAATGGGGTCAGAAAAATACAGTGCACAAGCCAAATCCGGCACCCCACCTGTTTTTGTAAATAAAGCTTTATTGGAACACAGTCATTCCCATTCATTTATATCTTGCCTATTCCTTTCAAGCTAAAATGACCTTGTTGAGGAGTCACAACCAAGACCATATGGTCCACAAAGCTTTAAGTATTAGCTGTCTGGTCTTCACTAAAACTTTGCTAACCACTGTTCTATGGGGACACAGAGCTCTCTCACATACAAAAATCTCATTCAAGTGTGTTAGGAAGGGCAAGTCTGCTTACCCCATTTTGTAGATTTGGAAACTGAGGTTCAGAGAGGCACAGAGGCTTACTCTACACCTCCCTTAAACAGATACTGTGAGCACTTTAAAGAAAATAGACACAGTTACTAGATTGGAAATGCTTCCCATACAAACATAGGAATACACACACACACACACAGACACACACACACACACACACACACACACACACACACCATTGAGCATACTCAGGAACGCATGCTGCATCAACCTGAATAGACAGGTGTAGGTGTGAAGAAGGAATTTGATGGCCCACATACACCACACTCTTGTCAGCAAGTCTCATGTGATCCCATGTTTCTCAGTTCCCATGTCTTGAGTGCACAGGGGCTCACACACTTGATTTCCTTCTAAAGGATATGCAGGTGGGGTTAGGACAGCCCCTGCTGCAGAAATGATGTCCACCATATTGAATGACTTCTCCTCTCATGTTTGCTCCAGCAATGTGAAGACAAGTGGGGGCATTTGTGTGCCCTGGCTGACTTCTCTCTCGCCCTGACTGAAAGCATTCAGGAGATCAATAAGCATTCGTTCAACAATTTTGAACTCCGGATTGGTGAGTAACAGCTGCAGGCGGGCCCTATACTGCCAGCTGGTCTTGCTCCAATAAGCCTGCCTGTGCCTGGGCACCAATTCAGGGAAGCTTTTTCCTGCAAAATGCAATGGACTTGCAATGACCCTGCCAAGGACAGGGACAGGGTCAGCTCAGCCCTCTCTGATCTTCCTCACATTCAAGATGCTGGAAGCAAGAGTAGGATACTTGCCTGTGTACAGAAATATAAAAAAGCTGATCTTTGGCACATGCGACAGCGAGGTTAACCTCTCCTCCAACATACTCACCCATGAAGTAGAGAGATAACTGACTAATCATCTCATTCTGATTTCTGGGTTGCTTGATGCTGGTGGTCAACGTATTGCTCTCAGTTTCTTCTGGATCATGCCTTTGAGCAAAAACAGAATTCTACTCTGGAGGATGTCAAATACTATCCCAACCCCAAGGATGAGCTTTCCTCATCCACAAAGCTTACCCTTCTTTGGGCTTAGAGACACCCTTATGCAAAGCAACAGTACAATAATCACTGCAATTGAATAATAATCCCTTATAATTTGTATTATTTGCCGATTCCTTCCACATCTCTGGGAGCTTGATGATCTCCTAACGTGTAGTCTGAAAGCCCCTATTCTAGTCCACATTCTCATTTCAGAGATGAGTCAGTGCAGGCCCAGAACAGGGGAGGAATTAACTAGCCTAGGATCGCACAGCCCAACAGCCATACCAGCAACAGCCCCAGCATGTCCTGAGCCCGAGACGATGCCATTCTGGCTGCCAGGGTGCAGTTTAAAACAGCATGTGCTGCAGTCCTTGTCTTATCAACATCCTCTGGCTGACATGCCATTTTACTTTATTTGGCTCTCCCTTAGCAGCTTTTTAGCGGGAAAAAAAAGGAGGGGGGTCAAGAATGCCAATATCTGACTTGTCAGATCTAAGGAACGCCGTGTGTCTTTGTTCTTTGGAAGACAAGAAGTTATATTTTACGGTTTTGATCTACAAGTGGAATGTTCAGGGCTTGTTCCCACATCTTCCATCCTACCTATGTGTCCTTTCTGAAACCATTGACTGCACAATTGAACCAGGAATAGAAGGAGAACTTTCAGCCCAAGCAAAGAGATATCCTAAGGAAATTCTGAAGCTGTTGCCCAAATCAGAGCAAGCCATTGACGAGGTATATTTCACTGCTGGTCTAGCTTCATTGATCTCAGAGGTGAGAACAGTAACTTCCCAACTCAATTTGTGTCTCGGGTCTGCCGTAATGAGCTGTATGACTTTGGGAAAGTCATTTAAACTCTCTGTGTCTCAGTTCCTCCTATGTAAGCTGGGTGTTATGACTCCCCTGCCTCCCTACCTCACAGTAGTAACCTGAAAATCAATCAAGTGGGAAAACGGCTCTAAAAAGTTCTTTGCGAAATTTAAAGAGCTAACTATCCATTGTGATTCTCCCAGAGAAGCCCTATCCTATAGAGTCAGATTTTCAAATTTCCAGTCAACTATATCTGTGTGTGTGTGTGTCTATGTGTATGGTGTGTGTGTGTTTCTTCCTCTTGCCTCTACCTAGAATGATCTTACCCAGATATCTACATGGCTGGTCCCCTCACTTTCTTCAAATCTCTGCTCAAAAAGGTCTTGCAAAAGCACCCGACTCCAAAATGATTTTTTTAAACTTCTATGATTCACTAATATTATATCACATTTTCAAAGTTATTTTATATCTCTCCCAAGTAGAAGGTAGCTTCAAGAGGGCCAGGGCTAGACCTCTTTCTTTCCCGCCATATCCCTGATCCTTAGAACAGTACCTGGTTCATAGCAAGTGGCTAGTCAATGTTAGCAGAATGAAAAAATTATGTTATAAGGAAACATACATGCTCATTAACATTGTGGTGAAATCCTACTGTTTGTTTCTAAAAGAAAAGTTTATGTTTCCTAGAGTGGGGGCATTGAAACTGTCTTTAAAAGCATTTACCAAGTAAACTACAGGATTGAAGGGGAGGAATAGTCCAAGCAGAAAGAAAGGCAGGATCAAAGCATCAGGGTGGGAAGTGGCTGGCAGGTCAGGGGATCTCCAGCAGCTCAGTATGGATATGGTGCAGTGGTGAAGGAGAGGGTGAGGGGTGAATGAGCCTGGAAAATCAGGCAACAGCCAGAATGCAGAAGCCCTTGATTGCGCTTCTAAGGAGCGTTGGCATTATCCTGTAGGGAATAGGAGCCCTGGTGTATGTTTAACTGTAACTTGAGCAGATGTGCACTGCAATTAGAGCCTTTCCCTCCGGAAGCAGTGTGGAGACTGGGTTCACGAGGACAAGGGAGGATGAGGCAGGGAAGACAAGAGAGGACGCAGGAGCCATTGCCATGAACCTGGGGAATGATGTTGAGGACCTGGGCTAAAACAGAGAAGGAAACGTCTGCCCAGGCTCTCAGAGCACTGCATCAGCAGAAGCAGGAAGAGATCCCAAGGTCCTGACTCCTGGTCAGTGCTCTGATCATCCCACAGACTGAGAGAAATCAATGTTCGTGTGATCATCATTATATTCCATTTGAACACTCGCAGGTTGTCAGACACTATGCCAATGGCTTTACTTACATCATCTCACCAAATCTTCCTTTTGTTATTTTCACTTTACAGATGGGAAAAGTAGGGCCAAATAGGTTAAGGAACTGATGCCAGTTCTAACAAGTGCCCGGGACAGGATCTGGGCCTTCCAGTTCACCCACCAAAATCACACAAGTAGCGGTCGCTATCCCAGGGAGGGGCTCCAGACAGTTCGATGTCCCTCTTCTCTCCCTTATCTCTTGCTCCTTTGGTTCATTCGCAGGCATCAGCCACGGCTCAGTGGTAGCTGGCGTTATCGGCGCTAAGAAACCGCAGTATGACATTTGGGGGAAAACTGTGAACCTGGCAAGCAGGATGGACAGCACAGGGGTCAGCGGCCGGATTCAAGTCCCTGAGGAGACTTATCTCATCCTGAAGGACCAGGGCTTTGCCTTTGACTACCGAGGGGAAATTTACGTGAAGGGCATCAGTGAACAGGAAGGGAAAATCAAAACGTACTTTCTCCTGGGAAGAGTCCAGCCCAACCCATTCATCCTGCCCCCGAGAAGACTGCCCGGGCAGTACTCCTTGGCCGCAGTCGTCCTGGGCCTTGTCCAGTCCCTCAACAGGCAAAGGCAGAAGCAGCTACTCAATGAGAACAACAACACGGGGATCATCAAAGGTCACTACAACCGGCGGACTTTGTTGTCCCCAAGCGGGACGGAGCCTGGAGCCCAAGCAGAAAGCACCGACAAATCTGATTTGCCATAAAAGCGTTTTCTTTGTGTTTCTTTTTTTTGTATTTCTTTTATATATAAAATAAATATACTAATAAAAAGGTTTAATTTTTTTTAGAACAAGAATGGTTTCATTGGTCTTTGAATGCACCAGATCAAGATCACCACTTGAAGTTCCCTTCAACCACCCACATTTATTGATCACCTCTTGTGTTCAAGGTCTATTGGGAAGCAAAGATGAATAAGACCTTGTTTCTGACTTTTAGAGACTCACAATTAAGTGGGAAAGAGAAACATGTAGACAGAGACTCCATACAATCAAATACTCGATCACACCTACTATTTTTTTTTTTTAGCACTTGTCGTCTGCCAGGCCAAGTGCCAATTTTTTTACATAATGACTTCGTGTCATCCTTACCATACCTGTACATTCACCCATCAGTATTTTGTGAGCAACTACAATGTGCCTAGGCTCTGGGAAAATCCTGGTTAAAAGTGCTTCCCTCCTAGAGCTAACATTCTGGTTAGTAATAGATAAGTTTCTTATAAATATAGCCGGGCTCGGTGGCTCAGCCTGTAATCCCATGCCTTTGGGAAGCTGAGATGAGTGGATTACCTGAGCCCACAGGTTTGAGACCCGCCTGGGCAACTTGGCGAGACCTCGTCTCTACAATAAACCAAAATGAGCCGTGGTAGCGCGCGCCTGTAGTTCCAGCTACTTGGAAAGCTGAGGCAGAAGGATCGCTGGAGCCCAGCAGGTTGAGGCTGCGGTGGCCAGGAGCGGCCACTGCCCTCCAGTCTGGGTGACAGAGTGAGACTTCAACTAAAAAAAAAATCAAAATATAAATAGTCTACTTTCACATAGGGAAAGATACAATAAAGAAACCTAAATTGGACAGTGATTGGGATAAAAAATGGGAGGGCAAGGATGCTTATTTAACCGAGTCACCAGGGAAGGCTTCTTTTGACGGTGTGATGTTGAAGATTAGCCCTAAATAATAAGAGGCAACTCATAGGACCTGGGGGGAAAAGTGACCCGAGCGAAAGGAACAGCAAGTGCAAACACTTTCATGTGGCATCAAGCCCAGCATGCTGTAGGAACAATAAGAAAGTCAGTGTGTAGGTAAGCCCTGGTAGGCAAGTACACTGTCTTCTGGGAAGACTGCCTGTTCTCTCATGACCGCAAGATCGCCAGGAAATTTTCCTACAAATGAGAAAGCTCAGAAAAATGAAGAGATTTTCCCAAGAGCATATAATTGGTTGTAGAACTAGTTTCTGAATTGGTTGATAAAAGCTGACTGCTATAACATTTCCTAATCTTGGTGGCTAAAACATAATAAAAAAGATATATGTCTTGCTCACATTGTGTTGGATGTGTGGCAGGGGGCTTCCATGCAAAGATTTTGAGACATAACCTCTTTCCACTGTGGCATTACAGCTCTTTTTTGGTCCTGCATATCCAGCCAGCTGAAGAGAAGCAAGGGACAGGAAAAAGAATCACCCAGAAGGTCTTAGGCACCAGGACTGGAAGTTACATGTGTTCTTGTTCTGTCTCACTTCACGGCAGAGGAAGTTAGGGAGTGGATTCTTCCTGGGCTTCCTTACTAAAAGGAACAATGAGCCGGGCTGGTGGCTCAGCCTGTAATCCCAGCACTTTGGGAGGCTGAGGTGAGAGGATTGCCTGAGCCCACGGGTTTGAGACCCGCCTGGGCAACTTGGCAAGACCTCATCTCTACAATAAATCAAAAAATTAGCCAGGCATGGTAGCGTGCACCTGTAGTTCCAGCTACTTGGAGGGCTGAGACGGAAGGATCGCCAGAGCCCAGCAGGTCGAGGCTGCAGTGGCTGAGAGCGGCCACTGCCCTCCAGTCTGGGCAATAGAGTGAGACTCCAACTAAAAAATAAAACAAGTAAAAATAAATAAAAGGAACAATGAAGTGCAATGGGTAGCTTTGCCTCCACCACAAGAACCTACAAGTGTTTGAGCCCAGAGCCCCTGTTTGTAAATATCAAGCTGTTCTGGTGCTATGTATGGTTTAAGTAATGGAAGGAAAATTATGGAATCCCAATCATCCTCTAAATTCTTAACTCCGAACAACAGCCCACTTAAAAGAAACTTATCTCCAAGTAAGGAATCCACAGAAGATAAGCCCTCCAGGAAATACCTATACTCAGGGTTTAGGCGCGATCCCCATGGTAGAAGTTAAACCTTCTTCCCGAGAGAGGCACAAAACACAGAGAGGGAATTGAGGTTCATGGGGATCTTGAACTTTGAGTCATGTTTGGGAGGCCTTTTGCACTGGAAAACTATGCCCACATCAAAGAGGCATGTGAGACCCCAATGGAATGTGAACAGGAGGCCATGTGAAAAGCCTCAGTAAATGGCGAAGTCCTCTGCCAATGCCGGGAGTCATTACCATCTTCACAGACTCGGAGAATCCCAGGTCAGGAAGTCCCAAGGGTCATTCAGTCCCAACTGCTGAGAATGTTTACACAAATTCATGCTCTGTGCATGCTGAGATTTGGAACCATGAGGTGGAGGTGGGGAGTTGAGCTCAGGTAGATGGAGGCCTGACAAACAACCCTAGCAAAGGAGCTTGCCTCCAAAAGGCAGACAGGCTGTAAAACCACAGCATCTAAAAGACAGGGAAAACTGGATGGGGGTCATTAAACTTTGGTCCACTCCAGAGTATGGGGCCCATCACAACTCACAGGCAGTATCAGCAGTGACCCCAGCAAGCAGACAAGCAATGGTGAGCTGGATCCAGTCCCAGAAAGAGAAGCTACCACAGACATACTTTGTCCCTAAGCCCAGAGCTAGGACTCAGGATAAACTTCCTGCATGAGAAGCAGAATTGGGTTCTAGGCAAGATAACTGGGCAGAGACTAAGGTGAAAGCATCAGGCCTGTGGATGCCTCCAATTTGGGGGTGACCACAGAGTTGCCACTGGAAAACTTCACCCAGGACAAGTTCCTGGCTCAGTGATGGCAAGCCTTGAGATACCACAGATAGAGAAGGTGGACACTCCATCCTGGGCATGGGAGGTGTGGCCTCATTCAAGGCTCCATCAAGCAGGGGAGCACATGGGACCACTTGCAGTGGCAGTACTGAGACCACCCCCTATCAGATTGTCAAGGACCCCACCAAGCAGGCATCTGGCCTCTGCTCCAATTCACCCAGTGCCAAAGCACTGAGTCTCTTCCCTCTAGGTCAGCCCATTCATTGGCACCAGAGATCGTGCTGTCTTTCTATACTAACAGCAAAAAGACGAGAGACAGCCAACACACTGGCCTGTAGTGTTGAAACAAACCTTTTCTTGGGCCTTCGTGAGTCTGAAGGGGGCAATAAAGGCACACAGTCTTCCTGAAATTTAGAGGTATGTTTCTGTTTACTTACTTTGGGATCCATTCAGCTCAATTACTAAAAGAATTTAAGATGTCAAGCGATTTCTGGGGAGCCTGACATAGCGTTCTAGCCAAGAATATCAGCCTTATCTTTTCCTCCTCGGAACTCTGCTTGTGAGTTTTGGGGTTTGATTTTAGAAATATAAGGACAAGCTGGGCTCAGTGGTTCAGCCTGTAATCCCACGCCTTTGGGAGGCTGAGGTGAGTGGATTGCCTGAGTCCGCGGGTTCGAGACCTGCCTGGGCAGGCGAGACCTCATCTCTACAATAAAATCAAAAAATTAGCCGAGTGTGGTAGTGCACGTCTGTAATTCCGGCTACTCAGAAGGCTAAGGCGGAAGGATCGCCGGAGCCCAGCAGGTCGAGGCTGCGGTGGCCGGGAGCGGCCACTGCACTCCAGTCTGGGTGACAGAGTGAGACTCCAACTTAAAAAGAAAAAAAAAAAGAAATATAAGGACAGACTCCTGCAGAGGGAACAGTGCCCCAAATGGCGAAATGCAAAGGGAAACACAGAGAAGGGTTTAGTCTAAGCATGCTCAGGCCTGACAGAGAGGCCTTCTTGACAGCTCTCTATTCTTGACTTAATCTTCCGGGTCTGATCCAGTGTATGCCCCACCATTTACCAGCCTGTGTAGGGAAGGCACAGTTTCTCATGAGATAAAACAGCCCTTCCTGGAGAAGAGGCAAGGGTGTCTGCAGCATTCATCCAAGGACTGGGTCTGAGAGCTGCTGCCTCCCAACTTGTCATCCTGCAAAGCCTGGTGGACCACCTTGAGCTCAGAAATGTCCTCATGCCAGCTTAACCCCTTCCCTCCTTCCTTTGGAAACTGTGTGAGTATAGCTGCTCTCCATTGGCAGTAAGAATTATGTTATCATCTCCATTTTACAAGTGAGGAAACTGAGGCATGAAAAGCTTGAGCAACTCACCCAAGGTCTCACAACTGGAAAACAGGGGTACTGGAACTCAAAGACCATTGGTCTGGCTCAAGAGACCTGACTGTAAGCACCACTGCTGAGCCCTTTGAAGGGACGGAAAATATTCACTAAATGAAAGTGGATGTCTGAGCAGGCTTCCCACTGGTGGGCCACAGGTCATGGGAATGGGGGGGCTGCCAAAGACACTGCAGCAGCCACCATCGGACAACCTGGGACCACCTACCCTGGTCCCAACAGCTTCATCCTCTTCCCCCACTTCCGAGGCAGTGTCTTGAGGTGCGCAGGCCTGGGTCTGAGTCCCGTCCCTACCTCTTATGAGCTGCTCAATGCTGGGCTAAGGGTCTTCACCGCCATGCATCTCAGATCCTTCACCTGCCACCTGGCGATCAAAAAGGAAGCCATGTGACTTCGAATCTCGAAGTTTCCAGATTTGAGAAGTATGGTAAATATGCCAAGTACAGGAATCTCTTGTGTCATTGCATTCCTTTACTGTGCTTCACAGATACTGCATTTTTTACAAATTGAAAGTTTGTGGCAAGTCTGTAGCGGCCATTTTTCCGACAACAAGTGCTCACTCCATGTCTCTGTGTCACCGTTTGGAGATGCTCCATACTTTTTCATTATTATGATATCTGCCATAATTATTATGATATCTGATCACGATGAGAGGTGCTCAGTGATCTTTGATGTTACTATGAAATTGCGTTAGTGTACAGTGGATGGCGCCCACAGGCGATGGTGAAATTAATCCATAAGTGTGTGTGTTCTAGCTGTTCCACCGATCAC